ATATATATATACATGTATTAATTCAAACTTAATCTGAGTTTCTGGACAAGAAAGAGGGTAAGCAGTTGAAATTTCATTCTAAAACTCATCTTTTTTGGTCTTTTCATGGCTTATGATCTGTCAAATTTGTAGTTTTTCTTATTGGTTTTGAGTGTTTATCTTAAAACTCAAGTTTCTTGGTTCTTTGCTCTTTGTGTAAATCGAACACATTTGTGGAGTCGTTTAAATATGTTGGATTTTAAATATATTGGATTTTAAACTATCATACAATTTTTTTCATCGATAATCTGTAATTGGAATCATAACTCTTATTTATTCAAATTGTATTAATATGTAAAGACCAATTGTAACATATACCATCGTTAAATCTTATCTTATAAAACCAGTAAAACTTCAAAATCGTTAAAATTCATGGCTCCCGCCGTATTGCACGGGTACACAACTAATACAATATAATAAAAGTAAACATGTTAGAGAAAATAGAAAATGATTAATAATGAATATAATAATGATTATTAAGTGATAATAATAGAACACCCTAAATTTACTCTAAAATTTAATTCACTGATAAAAAATAAAAGAAGAAGAAGAAGAAGAAGAAAAGGGGGTAATGTTTAAGCGGGGTCCACCTTCTAACATCTGAAACGCCGTCTTCAACGATGGCACTATCCACGTCACCTCATTTCCACGTCTTCTACGTGATACCCTTCTTTCCACAAAACCCCTTTTTCCCATTCTACGTTTCCCTCAATTCGAAACACACTCACGCCTGCTGCTCCACCGGGTCTGCCATCAGCATGTGATCTCCCCCCTTCTCACGTGCATCTCTCCCTTACACGTGTCCTCCATTCTTTCAAATCAACGCCGTCAACTGACGCCTGTTTAACCCCATATATACTTCCCCTCTGATTCAACCCCATAAAAACACACACACTCTCTCTGATCTTAAATTTCTTCAAGAAATTTTTTGAAAATGAAGGCTGTTCTTATCCGGACCGGTTCTGTACCCATTCACTCCTCCTTGCTCTCTGGTTCACCTAGATTATCCATTCACGTTCGTCACAATTCTTTCTCCGGCAGTGATCACAAAGTGGAGTTTTCACCTTTGTTGCATTTGGAGGTGAACAACAATCGTCGGAGAATCAGCAGAACCATGTCTGAGCCGCAGGGGATTACTAGATTGAGGTCGATCAGTGCCGGATCACAGACCTTCCAGGAAATGTTACCGGAGGTGGACGAGGAGTCGTTGTCTTATGAGGATGTTGTTGGAGGTACTGTAAGATTCTATATATGAGCCATCAAACATGAATCATTAAGTAAATGAACGAAATCTAACCTGGTACAGTAGGGCTTGATGCTGTTTCGTGTACTTGTTGCTCCATCGTCTTCTTCCAGTTTCACACCATATTCTGCCCTTTGTGATGGATAAGGATATGCAGAGATTTGTGTACTGGATGAGGCATGAAACAGAGTATGGATGGCATA